TTTTTGAGGATCTTTTTACTGACATAGTCCATGTTTAGATCTAGCAACAGCCTTTGATACTTAAGAGCAAATATTGTTAAATCATCTGTGTTCCCTTTCCGAGGTGGATGGTATCACTCGTGGGTGCTCCTCTATTTTCTTTTCTAAATACTCCCAGACAGTTGTGGTCACTTGTTCACTCGGCAAGAGAGGCTATGAATTTCCTCACTGTTATCTATTCAAAATTCCTGGGAAACCATTTGGAGGTAGGTAGTGTGTGATAAAAACCACAATACGCAGACGGGGTCATCAATGTATTGGTGGGTGGGAGAATTAATTATATTTTTACTGCTTTTCTTCATTGGAGTTCAAAATATTGTCAGGACCAATGACTTGAGTCAGACAGAGTTTGATTTCCAGTGAAAGGACAGCTAGCTCTGGCTGCTGAGTCATCTTTGTCTTTGGCCAAGTAGCATATGGAGTTAAGAACAAACCCCCCCTAAACCAGTTCAGATGAGAGACTAGTGTCAGACATTGGGAAAGGATTTAGGTGTGATGAAGAGTGGTTCCAGTCCCCCTCCCATTCATGATGGTCTTTTTCTTTCCTTTGCCAAGAAGTTCATGCTTGGGACTGTCTCTGATCTATCATCTATTCCTGGAGTTTCAGGTGGCTTTAGCAGCTAAAAATTCCCTTTGCTTGTTTGTACTTGGCTGGAATGCTGCAGCCTTGCCTTTCATATCTGGACCCTACCACTGTAATCCTGATCACTGTGATGTGTGAGATTATTGCAACGCATTGTGTAGAGGGTTGATATTTAGACACTACAAAGAAAATAATCACTCCTGCAGAATGCCTTTCTGATTTTTTATGGATGACATTAGCCTCAGGGAACACACTGGACCTTCATTGGCTTTTCATTCATTTCCAGGTGCAGCTCAACCAGGTGCTAGAGAGTAAACAAAAGCCCTGAAATCCTGGCTCAGCTTTAGAATAGCAGACCTTGGTTCTGCCACTGGACCTTCTTGGGTGACCCTGGCTGGGCAAGCCATTTCTTTTTCTACCTTTCTTTTCCTACTTGGGAATAATGATGCCTTTCCAACTAAAGCTGGAAAATTACACAGCTGGTAGGATGTACGAAGTTGTCATCAGATTTGACATGGGCAAGCAAACATTGTCAATACCAGCTGATCTAATGAAGGTCTCTGCTTTTCCCCACAAATCTTACTTCAACCATATACCCATAGACCAGGCAGCTACAACACTACTACTGTAATGATAATGACCTCTTTTGTAAAGCACTGAGATCTAATGATGAAAAGCACTATACTGAACTGCCTGATCATATCTAATTGGGACCCTCAGAGTAACAGCCCTAGAGTAATTGTCTTGGACCTGCCAGGAGGAAATTTTGATGTGTGCTGGTTTACATCTCCCAGCTTCCCTAAGTCTGAGTTTGCTGATTATTCAAGGTATTGTGCAAGGCCTAATTTTGAAGTTTTCATATTGGGAGAGTGATTGGAGTGTGCTGGTTTGCTTCATAGGTTTTTAGAGGTATAGTAAGATACTGAGCTGGAATTCTAGGAGTTATATAGTGCAACAGTTAAAATACATTTATCACTGGCACTTTTGGTTTAATTGTTGTTGCTGTTCCATATAAGACTTGTATCCTTTCTGTCCTTACAACCACTTCCTTAAAACACTGTATCCATAACTTCCCTGCTGTGATTTTTTGGTGAGCCTCTTTTATTCCTCTCCCCTGTTGATTTTCAAACTCTTTCAAGGACTAGATTTAAATCAAAGAGCCTGTCTTTGACTTTAATAAGCTTTTAATAAAATCTGAAAAAAAAAAAAAATGCCACCAACACCCCTACAAGAGCAGTTTTTATGAGGGTTTGCCTCCCTGCTCTAACCCCACAAGACCCCGTATTCTGTGAGTACTGCTTCCCTACACACCTGGCCATAATTAAGTGGTCTTTGTTTTTCTTTCTGTCTTAGCTTTGTTTTACCAAACATGGTGTAATGTAGTATTGGGGGGAGCTTATAAAAAAATTAACTTCAAGTAAAGTGAAGCCTGACTGCCTGGTAAACATGCCACCCAGTAAGAGACTTATTTATTTCAAGGCAAATTTTAAAATGTTGACTGTTTTGAAGCCTGGGTATCTCCCTTTACAGTAGGATCATTAACTTCCTTTTCCTCTTTTATTTTCTGTCATGTTCTCCATTCTGATTTTTTTGTTTCTTTAATGGAGAATTACAAGTAGGTGAGGATTTTCACAGAGTCCTAGAAATCTGGCCACGTCAAATTGAACAGCAGATGAACTGGTTAATAAGAACAGGTCCCCCAAATTAAAGCACTGCAGTGAGGTTTGGATTGAAAAAGGAAAACATGAAATGAAGGGAATGCAATATGGACATCATGCGTGATCTTGCTCTTCTTTCAGGTAGGAGCTAGCACAGCAGTTTTTAACAATCGGCCCTTGTGTGTTTGTGTGTTTTCCTTCCCTCCATGTTGTTTCACAGTTATCTGTTAGTAACAGCAGTATTATTACACACAGATTAAAAGACAGGCAGCTTTTAGGCTCCCTGACAGTTGGCCAGAGCAGAGATTAGAGATAAAAGTTAATCCCGTGAGGTAATAGCAAAAAAAGAGTACAAAGACATGAGATGAGCCGATAATGGTTTGTTTAGGTAAGAAGACTTCCCTTGCCTCGGTGATTGGCTCTTGCTCAGTGGAGCTCTGAGTGATAGCTTCCCAAATCCTTTCTAAGGTTTATAACAGTTAGCAGTGGGCTGGGGAGAGAGCTAGAGGAAAAATATGGCAGCCAGCAGTGGTAAAACATAATGAAATCATTCTAACCATAAATGGAAGGTGCCAGACCATGGGGGAGATGAGAGATGCTTTCTTCCACAGCTGCAGAGCTATTAGTCAGTTAACACTTGGACAGAGGGAGGTTAAAACAGTCTCTAAGTCGGGGTTTAAAATATCAAAGACACTTATGTTTATGTTTCTTGTAAAGGGAAAATAACTTGAAAACGTAACAACACGAATATGACTGAGGGTGGTTAAAATGTTAATAGTCTGATAGATTTTAAGTTACATTTCTCTTAAGTTTCACTGTTTGTGGCTGTTTCATTATACCTATTGCATGTTTAGAGAGAAAAGTTTTCAAAGATCTTCTTGTATTTCGTATGTTTAGGAATACTCTTAAATCTGCATGCCATCACAAATGAAATTCAAATAAATCCATCCCTTTATAGTCAAGTTATGAAGGGATATTCAGCAGAAGATTAGGAACATGAAACAAGTGAATCTTTACTTCTGTACAGCCCTATCATTTTGCAGCTAACACAGATAAATATGTGTTTGAAATAGAAGCTATCTACCAACCACTGGCAATACTGCACTTCGCTGCAGTCTCAAAATTGAAGAGGTGGAAATTCATATCTTTGGTTTTTTTAAACAAAGATTGATGAAAGCAGTAGCATTCTGATTCTTAAGTATAATAATAATATGCTTCTGAAATAACCAATTAGCAAGTTCCAATTACTGGACCTGCCTTAAAACTGGTTATTGCTAACACTAGACTAAGAAGTGAACTATAGTAGAAATAAAAGCATGCTGTATTAGGGCAGCTAGCCATCAGAATTGATGGAAGAAAAAATTTGCCCTCACATTTGCTTCTTTGTACTTCTCTTTTGATGAGGGCAGGGAAATAACAGGAATACCAAAAGGCACAATTATTACAAATAGAACTCCAGAGTGACCATAAGAATTGAGTTCCGTAAGATACAATTTGTTCTAATCTCTAAATTTCTTTAGTTCTCCTAAGAGTCTATTTCAGGGAGTTAGTAAATCAAACTCTGATTTATTCTTCTTTTCTGTCAAGGTTTGAATAACTAGATACTAATATCTCACTTGGAATATTAATGAAAATTATTTGTATGATAACAATAAAGAGGTCTTGGAAAGAAAAGTGATGAGAAGGTTGGAAACTAACCAGTCAAATTTTCTCCCTAAACTTAGAAGGAAGTAAAACTATTATTTTCAAGATTTTTTTTTTTTTTTAAATATCATAACAAAACACTTTGCTCGCTCACTAGAGTGTTCACCACTCTTTCATGGTGTGTGGGACAGACTGGGCTCATAACGTTTGTAGGTTAGTGTTCAAATTAATGAAATCTGAATTGTTCATATTCTTCGTTCAAGAGAGTTCCTTTGAGGTTTGAGACAAAAATATTAGTTAGCAATCAGTAAGTATTGTACTATGTTCTCTTTCTGCAGTTATACGTAACTGAAGTGTTTGCAAGAAGCCATCTAACAGTGGAATGAAAACACTGCTCCACAAATCAATATTATAAGTTTTACTTGGGAGGCCCACCATCTTTCAGGAAATATCAGTTTCCTCCAAATACAGAAACACAGACTGCTGTAGGTACATTACAAATCCGTAAACTATCATCTTCTGATGCATGAGATCCAAACATTGCTAAAGTACCACTAAGATGTCTCAGATATCCTTCTACAGAACAGTGTGTCTGGGAGTGCTTTGTGTTGTGACCAGAGCTGCAGACACTTGCAAGATGCTAATTTGTGAATAAAAAGAGGTGATAGGTAGGAAATTTGACTTTCAGAATTTCCTGACAGAAAAAAATAACGTTTTTGTAGCAATATTTTCAAGGTAGGCCTTTCTTTGTTGCAAAGCATTTGTCCAGATACGATGCAGTTTTGCATCCTTCTCTCTCTGAAAGCCTGTAAACTTGCCAAGGTGTGTCATGTCCTGTTTTGTTGTTTTGATTTTGGCCATAGAAATTCCATCCCCGTTTTCTCCTTTTTATGCTTGAATGAGCAGGAAAAACAAGCCAGGGTTTGGAGGATGTCCTTTTCCAAAGGGGCTAAGCTGAGTTGTTCTTCCTTAAATAAATCTGAAGCTCCATGCTTAGTACAAAGTCAGGTTATGAAGTTGTAAGAAGTTATAAGAAACTGTGGTAACAAAATTTAGCCTCAATTTTTTTTCTTTAGAACAATTAGACAAGAAAAGGAAACAGAAGGAAAAATACCAGCCTCTCCACTTGCCAAAAGAATTGTCCCATTCCTCTCTTCCGTTCAGAGGTAATTCACATTTTTGGATAACAACTTGCCATAGCTTTCATAAACAGTGCTAATATAAATTGTTTCTAATAGAATTTCATGGTGCATATAGCTTGCAGATAATTGGTTTAGGAGTAAATTGAGGGGAGGAGTTTTCGCCAGTCTCTCCTTTTATCATTTGCTGCTACTATGTGTCATTCAGAGTCCGACTCAATCAAGAGTCTATTACTGCTAGGTGAACAATGTGGTGCCTACAGATCTTTTATGATGCAAAAGCGGGCAGTTGCATTGTGCATGTTTCAAAAGGCATGACATAAAAAAAAGAATGAATGAAAGAATTCTACATACAGGCCTTTAGATAGGAAAGTGGTTCATTGGAAATAGGTTTTGGCTATAATTTTCTTGCTTAGAATCCTAAACTGAGTAACAGAGCTTCTGGAAGATTTTCATTTTTTATTGAGAGTCAAAGAAATTATATGAAGTTGGGGTGTTTTTCTATTTAGTATGTCAGGGTTGCTGTGCTCCTCTAACAGTACATCTCAATGCTTACCATATCTCCAACTTCTCCCAAACTAAGGAATGAGGAAATAAAATCATTTAAGCTCCCTGCAGCACAGTTTGGTACCATCACATGCAATGGTCTGTGTAAGTATCAGGGGTTGATGTTAGAAGCCTTAGTACTCTTCAGAAGGGAAATGCAGATCATCCAAAACTTGTGCGAAGGCTTTTGTGAAAAGCAAGCCAAAACATTTTTTGAAAGTCTTACCCTGATGAATGACTTTCTCTTGACTGAATGGGTTTGTTCCCTTTAGGATTAGTGTACAACTTACATGAATAGTATGTTTCATGTTCTTTTGAAGTGGGGCATATTGGGAAAAATCTTCCATTTTCTGTTGTTGCAGTCAGATTTTACATAATGATGATGAGTTAATAGAATCCTCAGTTTAGATGATATTCAAGTGTTTGTGCACTTTTTCTTGACTGTGATAATCTATAAATAAACAAGTAGATTCCACATAAATACTCTTCTTAAAAACATTTAATCTGTGTCCATTGAGTCACATGGTCAGACATGCCAGAGAAATAGGTGTGTTTTTGTTATGCTTTAGTACATTGATCTGGACCAAAAAGGTGAAGTCTCAAGCCCCAGGAAAGTGAGGGAGAATAAAAAAATATCCTCAGGTTTTTTACCTGTCAAGATCAAAGTCCTTTATCTGAACTGATCTATTTCTAACTGTAGGAGTTACAAACGTAAATGAAAATCAGCTTTTGTTATCAGGAATCAAATTGTAATTTGTAAAATAAACATAGATGTGCTATGGTACCATTGGAGATCCACTGCCACACAGCTCAACTCAGAAGTTGTGCCTTCTCCCAGTGATAATGTATAGGCAAACAGCAGTGATTCAGGTTGCTGTTGTACAGCCCTTCACATGAGTGTGTGCCTGGAGGTACAGCCCAACTACTGATAAAATAGCTTCAGTCTGACCCAAGCTGCTTTCGTATGCTGTATATAGTATGGTAAAATCTAAAGGTAAAATTTTGTCTTTGGTTTTTCATACCATTTTGTGTTAATAGGACAGTAGGAAACAGATATGAAAAAAGTAACAGGAGCCCCTTTATCTCAAAAAGTGAACATGTAAAGGATTTTGAGTCATCTTCTTTTCTTGCTGTTTTCAGAAACAAACTTCTATAGAGAGATGATCATTTTGATCAGATAACATAGTCTTTGACAAAGAAAACCCCATAACTTTAAGCAAGATCTCCATCAGTCATTCACAGGAAGATGTAGGGGATTTTGGTTCTATTTTTTTCCAGTCTTTTCCAGCCTCCTACGTGTCTGGGTTATAGGTGGGGTCAAGTTGGGAAGCATTAAAAGACAGAGAAGAACAATTTTTGGTATGTTTAACATTTGTCCAAAAGTAGGAAAAGCCATTCAAAAGACTTTTTTAGTGAGTGAACTTTCCTGATAGTTTAAGAGACCCAGGTGATTCAGCAAGTCTCAACAATGTCTACAATTTTAAGTAATTATCTGAACTTTCAGAGTTTTAAAGGTTATTCCCATCACTAGCAGTACAATACGTTCACCGTGACTGGCAACTTCAGGGAGCCTGCAGTTTTCACTCTATTGACTCTTGGCTACCGTTTTGTTCATGTGCTGCTCTGTATTCTTGACAGCAAATTGATTTAACTTGCAGCAGGAAAGAGTGTGTGTGCGTGTGCGAGCGCGCGAGCAAGCGAGTGAGCGCGCAGGAGAGTGCGGGAGAGGGGGAGGAAGAGAAATGTGCCCATGTGAAATGTACTGGGGAGCAAGGCGAGGATACTGAATGGCAACATTTAGGCATTGACTGTGACATTGTATTAACCTTTTTAATGGATGTATGTAATAAAGTGACATGTAAATGGAGCACAAGGGGAGATATGACACTATATCTGGAAAAGGATAAAACAGTCAGTGAATACTGGGCTATTATAGCAGTTTGCAAACCTTGGATAAACTCAGTCAGCGGTTGTATAATTGGTTATTCAATCCCGACCCTTGTTCACAGCTCAAAGCCAGGAACACTGAGACCTGTTGCCAATTTGAGTGAATGCAGTGACTGTACTCGGCCGGGGCCTAACACTGGAGCCAGGCCTTTTCCTGTGGGCTGGTTTCCACCATGTCTGGGACTGGCGCGGTGACAGTAGCCCTTTTGTTGTGAAAGGCTGGCTGGTACTCCCCTCCTTTGCAAAATGTCTAACAGCTACACAAATATAAGAAAATAGGAAAAGGGACTTACTGTAGCTTTTCTCTTACCGAGTTAGACGTAGGGGCTTTGCAAAGGAGGCAGAGTCCAAGCAATAAGGAAAACTGAAGCATGTGAAATGTTATGGCTAGATAAGGAAAGTGCCATGTGCTTTCAATGTAGGATATGAACCGTGGGGAAAACCGGATTCTCTTAAATCATGCGAGACACAAACTGTACATCCAGAGCGATGTTCTCCAGCTCCCTTTTGAAACGCTCGCCCCTGAATGTGCAGTTGTCTCCCAACCCATGGCAAGCAGCCTGGGGAGCACTCTCTGGAGAAACAGTTCCTATAGGCCCGCTGTGGCGGCCGCCTGCGCTAGCACAGGAGCTCCTGCGTGGACCCGCTCCATAAAAAGTTCAAAAATGTTGACGTCGTTACGGGTTTCTTTGAGAACTGCTGGTACAGAGGTTGTCTCTTGCATTATGGAGGCAGCATTGTATAAGCCAGCTGGAGATGAACAGAGAGAGTGTTACAAGTACCCCAGTTCCCTCCACCCTCATCCCCACACACACACAACTTTCCAGTAAAAGCAGGGAGATATTTATGGAATGTCCTGACTCAGAGGCCAGCTGTTTCTCTTCTAGTAAAATGGTAGTTAGAAATAAATCAGAAGAAGGTTTGATTTTGGTTGATGAAATAATGAATATTCAGTAATATATATAGAAGATGAGCCTAGATGAGCTAATGGTCCCTTCTGGTTTCCAGCTTTTTGTGAATGAATCTGCAGTGCTATGAATCTACAATTTCTCTTTTCCCCTCCCTTTTTTCCCCACTTTTCTCTAGTTTTCATTAGTGGGATCTTGCTCCTTTACAAGAATTATTGTTTCTAAATGTACCTAGGTTACACAGTAGTATTTTTGTCATGTCATCAAACTATACCACCTCAGAGGGAAGGGAATTACTGACACAGTAGATTATGCACAATCTTTTTGAGTTACAAAATAAAATTGAGGTAATGGTTAAAAATTATATGCCTCTAGATCACAAAGAGATGGGCTTGGGGGCTAATCTCTTTGCCATTCTGATTTACTCTAGTTCAGAGAAAATAATACAGAGTGCCCGATTTAATGAAAGGCTGCAATTCAATCAAGAGGTTCTGCTGAGGTCATATAATATAAATGGTTACAGCACCTCTTGACTGAGTTACAGCCTCGATAATTCAGTACTTTGTTGTTATTTATGAGGGTAACTTTTCAAAGCAATCTGCATATCTCCCGCTAAAACCTGCTTTGAAAATTTTATGCCATGATGTCATTCAAAAAGAATTTTTTTTCTTTTGGTAAGAAAAGAAAAAAAAAAAAAAAAAAACACCAGCAAAATGAGAGGGGAAAGGAATGCATTGTTTTAGAATAGAAAATTAATCACTTGGAAATGGACTGGTTATTGTGAAGCAAATTCAGAAAGAGTATTGAACTTGCGATACATGAGAAAAACTACAGAAACTCCTGCAGAGGCTTTTAATGGAAAATACACCACACCATCTCATTATAAACACAGCTTTGGGAGTAAAGAGTTGTAACAGTGGAGAGAAAATGGCACTATGGAAATACATATATTTTTTGATAATCATAGTTAATGTAGCTCAGCTTTAATTGAAGTATTGTATGGAGTAGCAGGAACACATCATAGTAGGGACACTTGGAATTTGGGCGTTTGGGGTGTTTATATGAAGAAGGACGTAGTACTACTGCATGCTGGTGAAACTAGAATGGTTTAGTTGTCAGGAGAACTACACTGAGTCCATGGAAGCCTATCCCTATGGACATTGAAAAATCCACTCACTGTACACCTCATCTTCTTAATTCCCCCAAATATTATCTGTGTTTTACATTACAGTGCAATATTGTATGTATGATGTCTCCCTTAGGTCAATATTTCCAATTTAGTGAATTGTAGGTGCCTGACTGGAGAGTCTACAGTCTTCTGTAGAAGAGTGAATGCTTGAGATGCCTCATTAATTTAATATGGCTAAGAGACTAGTGGTCTTAAAGGATTTTGTAGTAGCCCCACAGAGAACTACCCAAATGTAATTTAAACAGGATGGAGGAAACTTTTTATTCCTTTATTTTCTCTGAGTTAGAAATGTTCAAAGTGGTAATAGCTGTTTTTATATGTTTTAAACTTACAAAAAGTATCTGAAATATATATGGAAACAAGGGTTTCAAGTAAACTCAAATAAAGGCTTTGCAGAAGCCTAGCTTTTGTGCAGAGCACTCTAGCAATTCACACCA